CGCGAGTGATGAGATCAATCAAGCCGCTGTTCATGATTAGTGTTCTGCGCTATCACTCTGCCCAGCCCGACAGTCAGTTAGAATGTTACCCCTCGAGAACACGATTTAGTTCAGTATAGTTCAGTATATTTAGGATTGATTAGTCCAATCTTGTGCGCTTCGCTGGCTATAAGTACTCTGTACTAGGTATGGAAAAAGACTTCAGCTTTTGCACTCTTCTTATCGTGTTCTTCCTTGGGGGCTCATACAAGACTTAATTAGGCGGGAACATCTCGGCTTTGGCTACCTTTACAACAAATTGGCGACCCAGTACTCACGATGTCCATATAAGTGGAACAACTGCAGTCTATCTTACAGCACCTTCAAGCTCAGTTCGAGGCGGCTTACATGAAGATGCTGGAATATATGATGCAGAAGTTCAGTTTGCATTTTGCTGATCCGGATTCTTTGGCGAAACAGTCCACGTCAGCGGACGCAGCTGCTGCTTCGATCACCGAGTTCACTTACTATCCCGACTCTAGCGTGACTTTTGACGCTTGGTTTAAACCTTGGGAATACATCTTCCATGTGGAGTTTGCCAAGGCTGATGATGCTTGGAAGGTGCACCTGCTACTACGGAAATTTGGCCACAAAGAGCACGAGCGGTACACGGGTATGGTTCTGCCGAAAACCCTCGTGACTTTACCTTCGACGAAACCGTCCAGCGCCTGTCAGAGACTCTCGGCGAGAAGTCCTCCTTGTTCAGTATTCGATACCAGTGTCTCAAACTGGTGAAAAACGAGACAGACGATTTACTGACGCTCGCCAGTACTGTCAACCGCGAGTTTGAACGGTTCAAGCTCCGAGAGTTGACCGATGACCAATTCAAGTGCCTCATCTTTGTAAGCGTTCTGCAGTCACCTGGTACTGAAATCAGGACCCGTCTGCTCTCAAAAATGTAACAGGACCTGAAGTCAACCCTGCAGACATTGACTGTCGAGTGTCAGTGGCTCAAAAATCTTCAGCACCGTGTCTTCTTCTCCCACCGTGGAGCAACTCAGTTCTTCGTTTGCCGCCAACAGCGTTCAGGCTGTCACCCGCATGAAGTCAACGTCTCCACAGAAGCTCCAAGATCCCACACTCAGAAAGCCACCATTAGCATGCTGGCAGTGTGGTGACTGGAATTTCGTTCGCTTCTGCCCATTAAAGAAGCACGTTTGTTACAAATGCCATAAACGAGGGCATAAGGAAGATCACTGTCCGGCAGGCCAATCCCTCAAATCAAGGGCAGATGGCCGGAAGGCGAAACGTTCGAACTGCCCTTCATCTTATTCTGGCCTAACGTCCCACTCCATTCTAGCCGGCTTCAAGACTGAATTTGAGGCACGGAGGAAGTATCTTACGGTCACTATCAATGGCAAATCTGTACGCCTCCAGTTTGACACGGCATCAGACATCAGTCTCATCTCCAGAAGCACTTGGCAGATAATTGGACGGCCCCCGATGATCACCTCGGATAAAAAGGCTATGAACGTTTCTGGAGGATTCCTCCGGCTCACGGATGAGCTCAAGTGTGACGTTTCCTTTGATGGCACTCAATTCAAAGGAACATGCTACCTAACTAAACTTCCGAAGCTTGACTTAATTGGCCTTGACTGGATCGAGAAACTCAGTCTCCTGGAATTGCCGCTTAAGCACATTTGCAATAGTGTGCAGTCAACTTGGCCGAGTCGTGCCAAATCGAATCAGCTGGCAGCAAAGCTGACGTCGACCCTACAGGCAAAGTTTGCTCCAGTTTTTCAAGACGGTCTTGGCTGCTGCAAGCCGATAAATGTCACTCTCCGCCTTCAACCTAATGCGAAACCTGCCTTCAAACTCAAAAGACCACTTCCTTATGCTGGACTTACTGCGGTTGACCAAGAACTTGATCGTCTTCAAAGGGATGGTGTTCTTCAGCCAGTCAATTATTCTGCATGGGTCGCACCAATCGTGGATGTCAAGAAAGCTACAGGAAAAGTCCGAATCTGTGCTAATTCTTCCAATGCTGCTCTAGACACACAAAAGTATCCTTTGCTTGTGCCGGAAGATCTTTTTTGCTAAGCTAAATGGCGGAACTTGTTTCGCTAAGCTTGATCTATCCGATGCATACCTCCAAATCGAGGTGGACAAAGACTCCCGGGAGTTTCTAACCATTAACACCTATCGTGGTCTGTTACAGTACACTCGTCTGTTATTCGAGGTTAAGATTGCTCTCGCGATCTTCCAGCAAACCATGGACACCATGCTGACGGGCACCGAAGGAGCCGCTACCTTACTTTTGAAGGAGTGAAATTAATGTTGAGCTCTGAGTTGCTGCTCATGCATTTCAACCATGATCTGAAGCTTGTCTTTGCTGTGGACGCCTCCAACTATGGAATTGGCGCCGTGATTTCACACGTTTTTCTTGACAACACAGAGAAGGCTATCTGTCATGCAGCAATATCACTGAAGTCTGCTGAACGCAACTACAAGCCAATCGAAAAGGAAGCCTTGGCAGTCATCTTCGCCATGAAGAAGTTTTATAAGATGCTTTATGGGCGTCATTTCACACTCCTCGCGGACCAAAAGCTCCTTCTTGCTATTTTTGGCCCAAAAAGGCATTCCTGTGTACTCGGCAAATCACCTTCAGCGCTGGTCAACCATGCTACTGGGCTACGACTTCGACATCCGGTGCCAGTCTACATCAAACATCGGTCAGGCAGACGTACTCTCGCGCTTAATCCACTCATGGACTAAAGAATCTGAGGTCACAGTCATCATGTCTGTCTCCGTTGCGTCCGAGGTCAACAGTCTATTTATAGATTTCATTCGTGCACTCCCTATCACTTTTGAGGAAGTCCGAAACGCAACCCAGCAGGATTCACTGTTGAGGCAAGCCATCAAGTACCATCGCAGCCAGTAGCCCACAAAAATGTCTGGAGAACTGCAGCAGTTTCACCAACGACGAAATTCTCCATCCATCGTTAATGATTGTATCCTGTTCTATGGTCGTGTTGTGGTCCCACAGAAGCTATAAGCCAGAGTCTTGAGACAGCTCCCCACCGGGCATCCGGGTATCAACCGCATGAAGGCTCTCGCTCGCAGTTATGTGTACTGGCCTCACATGGACCAACAACTGGAACAGCTGGCCCGCTCATACACCAAATGCGCTCTTGCATCAAAGACGCCAATGAAAACCACACCCAAGGCATGGCCTGTACCACAAGCCCCGTGGTCCAGGGCCCATATCGATTATGCTGGACCGCTCAATGGCCAGAACTTCCTCATCGCCGTTGACGCTTACAGCAAATGGCCGGAAGGTATCCTCATGGAACGCACGGCAGTCGGAGCCACACTCAACACAGTTCGGCGACTGTTCAGCAGATTCGGTTGTCCCGAAACCTTGGTGAGCGATAATGGTGGGTAGTTTATCTCAGCCGCCTTCGCCCAATTCTGCAAGCAGTCTGGTATTAACCACGTGCGTTCGCCATCATATCACCCACAGTCCAAAGGACAGGTCGGACGATTCGTCGACACTTTCAAGAAGGCTCTCCAGAAATCAAAAGAAGAAAGGACGATGGAAGAAGTTCTCGAACAAGTCTTGCTGAACTATCGAGTCACCCCAAACGGTGTCTTCCCTGCAAAAGCTTTGATGCAGAGAAAGCTTCGCACACCATTTGACATCATCCGTCCGCTGTCATCTGCCGGTGTAGTTAATGAACCAGCCCATCCGACGTCAATGGAAGGGCAGTTCAACCGACGACACAGTGCAAAGCTACGATTGTTCCACCCGAGCCAGATGGTGCTTGCAAAGGAATGCAGGAATAATCGGGCAAAGTGGACGCTTGAACGTGTTCACTGGAAGTGTGGTGACGTCGTCTACCAGATTCGGGTTGGCTCCTATATTTGGGTGCGCCACGCCAATCAGCTGAAACACACCGAATGTACTGACTTGCCACATCCAAGCCCAAACTTATCACTGGAATTACTACTGGACAGATTTGATTTGCCGAAGCCAAGATAAGAGCGCACTGGCCCTGGAGTATGCCAATCTCCTCAAGTCCCTATGCGATCGGGCCGAAA